ATTTTGTCGACATTTTTATGCAACCTATCTTCGCTTGCTGCCCACCGTGGTTAGGTAATGTGACGAAAATCACATTACTTAAGATAAATGAACATAAATTAGTTACAAATCTCGAACCAGACAGAACAAAAAATGACACTGAAGATGGCACAACGCTGAAACCGGTTTGTCTGCAAACCAAACTTGACAAGGGATGACGGAAATTCGTTCCAAAATAAATCATATATTTAATACTTGCGCCGGGTATTTAATGTTCGGCTCCGCCCGAACTTAGACTTTCTTACTTGTTCAATCTTATACTGGCGATTGTAAGAGGAGCTGCTGTGTGTGCAATTATTGGCGTATGGCGATGATATCGGATACGGTAGTAGGTGATCTAGGACAGGACAAAGTATCGTTCATCATCAAAAAACAATTCAATTTGCTCTCTACTCAGCCGACGTCATTATTTAGAGTTATACTTTCCAACCAGTATTAAAATCAAGAATAGAGAATTAGGCAATTGAGAAATAAATGTATATCCTGTAGTACAAAGACCACATCATAAAAGTTACTCGTCACGCAATGAATCATTGACAATGAAAACATGGTTGGGCCCTTAGAGTACGGAAGATCAGAAGAGGAAGAAGAAGGCTTCCTCCGTGAAAAATAGGTCAGGAAGAGAAAAATTTGGCTTAACTTGGTATGTATTTCTTACTGGCATCAGCTGGCATATAAATGTAAAGACTGGCATATTTTGTTGGACCTGTTCAAATCGTTTAGGTGGTTACAGAAAGAAGATGATTTGCTTGGTTATAATTTTCCTCCCGAAATCATCTGCCATGTTGTTCAAAGTTCTACGATATTTTTATGCATGCCATTTCTTCAGAGATAAATTTTATTTGTTAAAGTTTTAACTTAATTTGTCAATGCTATATATCAAAATTAGTATGCCTAACCGTTATTCCAGTATACCCGGAAATGTTCATTAAGCGGTAGTTTTATGCGTTGTTGTTGATTTAATGACTAATCATTTAATATTTAGAATTTATTCTTATAAAAAGCAGCAAAAATATCAACATAATTTTTTTTTGATATTTAAAAGCGAAAGGTGTCTGAGCACTGTTCTGAAAACTGAGCACTGAAGAAAATTTGGCCAAAATTACAAAATTTTTATTGAGTTTGGTAATTTTGCTTGTAGTATAAACAAAAAAAAAGTGAAATATAAGAGATTACTAAAACTGGTGTGAGTTTTTTTCGACAAATGGAGATGAACTTAATTCAATAAAAATTTATACCAATATATTTGGGTGATTTGAATTAAACATAATAAGTGTATTAATTTTCTTTTCAATGTATGAAAATAATGACGATTTTAGTAATAGAATGCATTTAATAAAAGTATCTAATAAAATAATTTACAACTAAAGTTTTTAATCCTACATAGAAGTTTTTATAGTGGAATACAAAAAAACGTTCTTTCAATCATCCTGAAGCATTTAATAAGTACTAGTGAATTAAGTCGTAATTAGAATAAGAAAAAAAGTAAAAAAGCAAAAACAAATCACTGCAAAATGTAATTGAACACGGCAATGTAAAACAGTTCACGCGCCAGTATCAATCACTTCAACACATATCAAATCAACATAATCACTGGCCCAAAAAGCAAAACCATCAATTAACATAAGCCAACTGTATGCGGCAGATTAAAGCATAGAACACCACGAAATTAAAAACAAAAAAAAAAAAAAAATTGAAATTATTTGGCTAATATTTCTCGCTATCGCATCGCATCGACGCACAGCTGTTAAAATGTTCATAATTACGGTCATTAAGTTGCTACTAATTGCGCTGAATTTCTTCCCCAACCGCTACACAAATCGGAAAGTGATGTTCCTCATCTATCTAACAAATTTGGTGACACATGGTGAGTAGCCGAGTTGTGTGTGCTGTTGCAGCAAAATGTTAAATTTTTATTTTTTTTTTGTATATACTTAAGTACTTTTATGATCATAGGAATACGCTAATTGCAGTGGACATTAAATTGCATCTTTTTTAGTACTAAAAGGGGGAACATTTTCTGATTATGATTGGTGTGATAAATTTTTCCTCCTCCAGTCAGAAGTAGTATGTGTGCGTACTGTAATTAGTAAGCAATGTCTATGCGAATATTTAGAAGTTTCGAATTTTCGGGTGATTTTATTTCAGATTTAGGCTCATTACCTCATTAATGGCATCAGTGGATAATAAACGTGTTTCTATTAACATAAACCAAAGTTTTTTTTTTAATAGTGCATTTTAAGCTGTTTACTCATGACCCATAAACTATTAACTAAGCAATCTTCTTATGTGTATGCTCGTAAATTAGCATACTTTTTTTTCTGAATTTTTCGAAGCATCGGAATTTTGTGATTTTTTTCGGAATCACTTCACTTGACGCGATTAGATAGTTTCCTCCAAAGGGTTTGCTATGCAGAAAATTTTGTGGCATTCAGATACGAATGTTAAACTTTGTCATTAAAAATGTGGTTATTTATTGCTCTGTGAAAGTCTGGCAATACGCCTGAAAAAGTAATAAATATTACAAAGTCGTATTCTTTATCTACTTACCAATACGCTAAAATGCTCAAATCGGCTACAAAATTTTCTCTCTGATTTGGAGGCATACGAAAGAGTCCTTATATATGACCAGTTTTTCTAGGGTACTTAAGTTAGTTTACCGGACAATGCGGATGGTTATGTGACTCGTGATGCATACTGTCCGCATCATGTAAAACCGCCTATCTAAACATTAGGAGATATCACGGCCCCACCTGGTCTTCACTACTCCAATGCGTATCCGCCCGATTCTTCAGCATATAAGTGAATTCTCCGTATGGAGTGTCTGTCTGTTTTACATAAGTCGACCCTGCCATTATTGTAATCGACCATAAAGTTGAACTGTAACCCCTTTGGGTACCTCGTTCACCCTAGCTCTCGCGAATAAAAATTCATCTAAATTTATTCATTCTTATGTATACATATAGCCCACGTATTTCAGCCTTAAAACTATGATGGCTTCTTTAGACGGCCTCGTCTTTAAAATGGTCTGTGTGACTAGCGAACACTTATACGTGCCTCTCTAATAAGAAGTCGTGCACAAGAGGACTACATTGCCCCTAAATCACCCTTCCGTTGAGCCTTTATAGCTATTTTACCTGCACTTGTTTAACTTGCATCATTTAATATTTCAGAAAAAAAAACCTAATTATTTATCCTCAGTTTCAACTCAATGGAAATAACAAAATTGCTTTGGATGAAACCCGTTTTTGCTTCACGCCTCAATCAAGGGAGGACGTGCAGCCCTCCGGCTTGGATTTTGATCTCCCTGAAAGATGCTTTCGCTCTGCAGCCTAGCCACAAGTTGATTGCATGCTCGTTGCAAACCCAGTAAATCGAAAATTATTGATGGTATTCATTTCTATGCTAATAGCATTTTGGGGGCTAGGTTTTTGCTCATGAAAAAAAGTGGATGAACATATGGTAGTAAAGCAGAGAGAGTGGGGACGGAAAGAAAATAAACTAGGATTTCGGTGCAGAGCGGAGGAATGGAGCAAGGAGCAAAGGATTTTGGCTGGGTCGGAGCTGGAGCAAAGAGCTAAAAAAATTAATTTTCTTCTTAGCTTCTTAAAGAAAATTCAATTCATTTATTTGTTTTTTTTTTTTATTTTTGCCACGTCAATTTGAACGACGATGGAAAAACAATGACTTCTCAGCCAACAGAGAAACGTGCGACAGTGCGGCCTCGTACAATTCTCTGTATCCGGAAACAAACGGAAAACGACTACAATTTTCATTCATTTTCATATCTGGAAATCTTTGGAAACATTCGAAAGAGATGATGGCTGTGAAGTTCAGAAAGAAAGCGTATTGAACGAAAATTTCATTGAGAAAATTTAAAAAAAAAACAGCCAAAAACGTATCCGATTCAAAACAATTTTCGGTTCTTGTCTGTACATTCAAAAATATTACTCATACCACATGGTTCCCCTTCTATGCATATTAAACTTTCTTTTGCGCTTAATTTCTAGTGTTGCAAACAAAAAACTCATTAACATAATCTAGTTTAAATATGTACGCGTAATCGAAAGCCCACACAAAATTATTTTACATCCACATTTGTTACAGTGATGATGGATGAGCCACGCTTCGCACAGCCAATACCAAATGTAACCGTTGCTGTCGGTCGAGATGCCAATTTGCCATGCGTGGTCGAGCACTTAGGGGGATACAAGGTAATTAAAGAACTACTTTAATTAAATTGAAATCATCTATCACTTCGGCATGTCGCCTAACTAGGTCGCCTGGATCCACATCGATCGCCAAATGATACTGACAATTCACAGACATGTCATATCTCGCATACCACGCTACAGCATCACCTATGATAATGCCAATACATGGCTGCTGCATGTAAATCAGGCGCATCAAGATGATCGTGGCTATTATATGTGCCAAGTAAATACGAATCCAATGATAAGCCAAGTGGGCTATTTGCAGGTTGTGGGTAAGTTGAATGCAAAAGGAAAGGCTTACTAAGTAATTTAAATAACTAATCACTGAACTTTCCAATTCTAGTACCACCGAACATACTCGACATCGAGAGCACTCCTTCCTCAGTGGCGGTGCGTGAAAATCAAAATATCAATATGACTTGCCGCGCTGATGGCTTTCCAACGCCGAAAATAATTTGGCGGCGCGAAGATGGTGAAGAAATTGCCGTCGAAAAGAAGAAGAAAGGTAAGAATGTGCCCAATTGACTTGAACAGGAGTGATTTAAACCTACATAAAAATGTACTGGCTATATTTAACTTTTCCTTTTTTATTTGTATCTTCTCCTTTACAGTTTTAGTTTACGATGGCGAAGTGTTGCCATTGACGAAAGTAAGCCGCAATGAAATGGGTGCTTACCTCTGTATAGCCACCAACGGTGTACCGCCATCAGTGTCAAAGCGAATTATTTTGGATGTTGAGTGTGAGTACATTCTTAAGTGTCAGGAATTTTTTTTTACATACAATAGGCGACAAATGAAATTGTGCACCCTGTTCTTATATAATATACACAATTATGTTCCTGAAAAAATTTTCGCATTAATTATTTTTATGAAAATATATTTCATTCTATACAAAGTTAAAAAAAAAAATTAAAAAAATTTTCAACAAAATTTTCATCTTTTTATTCAGAATTTCTGGAAAGTTTTAGAGTTTGCAGTTAGTTGCCCATTCAATTTTAGTCAATCTCCAAAAAAAAAAATCTTAAAATTAACGCGATTTTTTAGTCGGTTGAGACTTTATTAAAATTGAATGCACTACAAAACTGCACACTCGAAAATTTTCCAAATTTTCTGAATAAAAAGTAGAAAATTTATATGCAAATTTCTTGAATTTTTGTGAATTTTATATAAAGTGTGAGCTTTGATTTATAGGGTTTATATTATAGAATGAACTATATTTTCATAGATAACACGGTTCAACAAGATTTGGTCGTATTTAACTTAAAGACGTGGTCGAACTCATCTTATAGATTTTTTCTTGCCGATTTGAGGTGCATTTGCAAATTTTTCTAGCACGTCCAGTTTTTGAGAAAAAACTGTGAAAGTGTCGAAAAATGCACATTTAAAAAAATATTTAAAAATATAATTTCGACGTAGTTGTTCCGAAGAAAAAAATCCAGTTTTTGAGATAAAATACGACCAAATTTTGTTGAATCGTGTAATTAATGCAAAAAAATTTTCATGAAAATAATTGTGAATTATATTAAAACAAGGTGTAAACTTTCATTTGTCGCCTAGTGTGCATACATACATAAGTACATAAGTGAAATACAACATTATGGATGAGGTTATCTGCAAATGGATATTTGTATGTACATTAGTGTGCATCATCTCCTATAATATAAGTCGCTACTGTTTTACAGACCGAATTATAAAATTTATTACAATTTAAGACTTCCAGCAAAATATTTCGGAAAAATATTGAGTTTTATGTGAGCTAAACTTATTTTAAAATATCTCCAAACATCTCATTATTTTGATTCTGTTAATAGAACTTCAGCTTAAACTATTTTATCATCTGGGGTGATGTTTAAGAAAAAATATTTATATAAATTTTTTTTATTCATAAAAAGTTCGGTTTTTGGAGCTATTTCAAACTAGGTATAGCTCACGAGAATTTTAATATTTTTATGAAATATTTTGGCGAGTCTTTAATTATATATTTATACGTTTACAATTCC